CCCGGCCCCCTCAGCGCCCCGCTCCCGCCTGAGGCAGCGCCCGGGAAGAGACTCCGGGGAAATACGGGCCTTGGCGTCGCCCGGTGAAGTCCTCCCGCACCCGCGCTGCCAGGAGGAGGGAGGCAGCAGGCCCTGCTCATCTTCACCGTCATCACTGACACACTCGTCGTCTAATTTATAATGAACTCTTTACAGTTGTTCTTCCTTACTTAGTAACACTTTTGCACATCTACCAGTTCAGTAATCGGGTACCAGCAACCTCACCTGCCGAGGATGATTCCAGTACATCAGAAAACGTTAAGGTACCTCCTATCAGCCAAGTCAAGGTTTGTAATCTTTCCTTATATTAAACTGCAACATCCCATTTAAGTCCCCACAATTAGAATCTTGTTTCTGATTTAAAGTTCTAAAGACTTTTGGTTTTCATACACCTCTGCTAGCCTAGTGGTGACCTTGCCCTTCCCTCTCATCAGTTAATTCTCCACTGAGTGTACAACTCTTTATTATAAATAAAACAACATTTTAAACTTTTTTTTATTATTATTATTATTACATTCCTGTCCTTGTTTGCTACTAGATACTCTGTCAATATTCCATCATGGTCCCAAATCCTGGGAACACAGACCCTCTTCTCTGCTGACGTTGGGCCACCTTGACCACCTTTTTAGCCAAAAACTTAAGCAGGATCAGCAATAATCAGCTGTATCACCAAAGCTTTTCATTGCCTTCAGATTTCATCCACCAAGAATATAACCACCGACTACCAGGCTTTCTGTAACTTCATTGAGTCATTCTGCTGTGGCTGACTAAGCAGAAATGTTACTGATAGTAACACAAGATACAAAAGTTTGATTGTAAATTGTGTTGCTATATTGGTGTAATTGTTCTTGCCAAGATTCTCCAGGTAGGTGAGTTTAACAAGAAATATTTTTTAGTTGCATACTCAAGTTGAAAAATAAGCAAGTGTATTAAAAATGCTTTGTCTGAAACAGGAGTAATTTGTGACATCTGAGGCAACTGACTGGCTGGAAACATCGAATTTCAATGGCTCAATATAAAAAAAGCCAAATCTACACAACCTTTGCATGCCTAGACACCACCAAAAATGAGTGCCATGAGGTAGGAGATATTTCATTGATCATACTCAGGAATTTTAAGAGTTGGGCACTTGGGCTGTGGAATGACAGGCACCTGAGCCCATCATTTCTCTATTGAAAGGACTGCATCCCTCCTGTCTCTCAGAAGCATATACCTCTCCCTCCCCCTTGCTCACCAGACCCTTCACCGAGCCACATCACTAATGTAGTAGAAGAATATCCAATTCTTTGGCCAAGCAAGTTGTGGTATGAGCAAGTTAAAGCCCAGGGAGATGTCTGACAAGCACTGAGGACACAACAAGGCAAGCACCTGGAGTGCATGGCCACAGAGCCCCAGGAAGGGAGAGGCAGAGGTGAGCTGTGAGATTTCCCCCTTTCAGTAGTGGAGCTTCTTAATTTGGCTTACCTTCTCATGGGAACCTCAGTTTTGGAAGCTTGGAGAAATATTGTTATGATTCTGGTAAGAAAAAAACCAAATGTTATCCTATAGCTGATATGTGCTGATAGTTTGGAACAGTTTGCCAGCAAGCTGAAAAATACAAAAAAGGCCTGACTTCATCTCTGATTTAAGCACTCCTATAATATTGACTACATCACTATGCAGCAAATTTGGTATTTATGATGCTAAAATAACTCTAGCCGCATGCAGTATTGTTGAGCTGATCATCATCAGATAAAGATTGTATTACTAGTTACGGTGTTTTAACAGACAACGAATTACACCTGTTAATTTGAACTGATGAGTCAAGTATTAGACAAGAGTATCACTAGAACCTAAATTTTATGCCAAGTACAAGAAGAAAATTTCAAATCAGACTGAATTCTTAGGATACAAGGTACACAAGGCAATGCCTCAGCTTTGTTAAACACAAACAACCTATGGTTTGTCATGAACGTCTGTGTGTATGTGCTGCATGCAGCTAAGAAGAAAAAGAAGTATAAAAGTTGTTTACTACACAGCTAAACAAGCACTGTGAGCAAAGCTCCATATCACGGCCAGCATGAAAACTTCCAAGTATTTCAACAGGCTGCAAACCAAGGGCATTCCAAAACATCTTTGGGAAGGCTTGAAAACCTCCCCCCGATCTTAAAGCCCATCTTGTAGCGAAGACTGTCAACTGTTTTAAATGAATAGGGAAGAAAAAAAAAAAAAAAAAAAGGAAAAAAAAGAAGTCCTGTCGCATTGAACTGAGGAATTCTGGAGCTCACTGCACTAGGCATCTCGCCCTTCTGATGAAGCCCCACAGCTGCTCCTCTGGGACAGCCAGAAACTATGAAATGGATGTCTCAAGACAAGGCAGCAGTCAGCTGCTCTCTTGCCAAAGACACAACATTTGAGTCTTTATCTTCCCTCCCTGTATTATTATACAGAATAAGATAATTCATTGGGGATTCACAAACCAGAACTGAAAAAATAGCTTATATTAACAAACCTTAGTTATTGTGACAAGCTACCAGAATTTATTCATCGAGACATCGAGCCTGTACAGAGGGTGGCAAAGGCCAGTTCACCTTTGGTGGAATTAAAGCATCGTTAATGGAATGGCAAAAGCATCCAACTTTGAAGAGAAGTGAAAGTATAAAATACCACCATTGTTATCCCTCCTCTTACTGCTCTGCCCAACTTGTCAAGCCACCGTGCCCTAGTTAATACAGGCAAGGTAGGAGCCCAAATGTCATTTTGTAAAATATTAAGGACTGAAACAACAGTCCTGCAGGTTCAGGAACCCAACTCCTATGGCCACAGAAGAACTGACAAGTACACAAATGGCACGTTACAAGCACATGCTTCATGGCAAAACCTTAATTCTGTGAACTTAGTGCCATAATAGGAGACTGACTCTAAAGAGCACCTGCCCTGGCAGGAAGTAAATGCCAGCAGTGCTAAAGCCTATGGGCAAACTCAAACTGACACTATGAAGCACAGACATTGCCACAAACGGCTGAGTGTAGTGAATAAATACACAAACACACACCCTAATGGTTGTTACCATTGTGAAAAAGCAGCCTGATTTCTCACCAAAGTAATGACAAAAACGACAGTCAGTCTTTGAGTGCTAAGTGAACCAACACCATCACAGTCTTAAGTACTTTAACCTATCTAGCAACAGGGAGTTAAATTCAGAGTAAACACAGAGGGATATAGTCACAGACCTATACTTTCTACTCAGTCATGCCAATCAGCATGTCTGAACATCCAAATGCTCCTGACAACCTGCTCACAAGTAATCCCTAATTGCCAGCCACAGTGTTTAAAAAAAAAATTTTAAGTAGAAAATGATGTCAAGAAAGCAATTTACAGGTAACAAACACATAAATTAATTAATTTCTAGGCATAAATCAACTGCCCTAAATCACTAACTACCCCAATTTGACAACTCTCTGAAATATTTGAACAACTCTTCATGAAACAGTCAAATTTTAGAAAATAGACTAATTCCATCAGCTCAGTCTCTGTAAACATGAGCCATCAGAAGGAAACCTCAGTTCAACCTGATTAACACTAGTCAGATTTAATGAAAAGCATCAGATAAGATTGCTTTCAGATGTAACGTCTAGTTCCATATTTTCATTCAGGAGCACAGAAAAAGCATAAAAATAATCCTACCAAAAAACCCTTCGTAAATTTAGGTACAAACTAAGGCTTAGACAACAGGCCTTAAGCTTGAAGAATGCATATCTTAATTTTATTTGCAACCTAGGAAAAAAAAAATCAAAAATTTGAACCACATACAGTTAAATTTAAGAATTCTTCCAAAGTCTTTGGATTTTCCAGCTTGGGGAAAAATGGTGTGGCAGGCATGAGAGTGAGGAAGAAAGGTACTTGGCTCCGCAGTTGGTGTCAGAGCTGAGCAAGCACTGCCTACGCACGTCTACTGGCTATTTTTGTGCCTGCATTTGTAGTTCTGCTTGACGAGAGGCTGTGAAATCTGAGAGGTCTTGTACTGCTTCAGTTTTCCTTCATGGTATGGTGTATTTTCATCTTTGCAATACACTGTCCCACTGCTAGTCCCTGTCCAGATTCTGTTGACTGCAGATGTGGAACCATCTGCTTTCGTGGAGTGCGGCCTTAAGGTGAGCAAGAACTCTATGAAACACATTTATACTGAAATCCCATATTTTTAAATCAATAGCAGGATTCCCACTCAACATGGTTTGTGTTAGTTGGAGATCACAGCACTCCGACTTTTGAACAGTCTTTGCTTCTTTAGCTAGTTTATGCTTCTGCACAAAGTCTCTCTTTTAAAGTGTCAGCAACAGATTTATTTGCTCATTTTTGGACTGAAATTTTTAAGACATTGACTGGTTATGCTTTTGCTACTGGAAACCAGTGAGACACTTCACATTTTGTTATCCTAAAATCTAAATAATTTCCCTATAGTAAATGCCACAGTGACCATTAACTAGTACTTCTTAGTTAAAACCTAAATGGTATTTTATAGCAGTGTAGCACCATGAATGCAACGTACGTGGCCACTTGATCTCCAAGTTCTTACAGTAATACAACAGCAAAGAAAACAGTAATTTGGGATGTATTATCCCATTTCAGATTTCACTTCCTTATTTACTGAATCATCTTCAGCTGAACCCTAGTGCTAAAAGTAAATCGGACAGATTCTAGTGTACAATATGTGAAAGGTAGTATTAAAAATAAACTAAAAATAAACATGCTAGCAACTAAAGATCAAACGATCTACGCAATTAAGAATTATTAAATTGAAGAGTATGTATGAAACAATCTTTGCATTGTGCTTTTAATTAAAAATATTACCCTGTAAATTAAAACTTAAGGCTTAAAAATAGTAATCAAGGTGAAAAGAATGATTGGAGAAAAACATCTTTGTAT